AAAATCGAGTTGCAGAATACATTTAAACGCTTTTAACAAAAATTCAAAATTCTATCTACAGCCATTAGCGATCGATATTTGATTAATCTGTCGAATGCATTTCGCGATTTTTGCCTGCCGTAAAAATTATTCAATGATAATAAATCTGCGATATGGGCTCTTATAGGTCAGTCGATGTGTTCAACGCCATATGAAATTATTGTAACATAAACATAGTATTGTTACCGAATCAAAATAAAGAGATGAATAAACATAGAAGAAGCCATATGCGTGAAGGGCATAATATATGTTATTTCGCTTTTAACTGTGAGGAAGGAAGTTTATGTTTAGACAGTGAACGATAAAATGTGATTTGAATGAAAAACGGAATTATCATTGTGTCTATCTATAATTCACATTTCTCGTTTCAGAAATATACGTTGACATATATGCACGCTGCCGATGTTATCGAACGTTGATTGACATCTCTTTCCTGCACCAAGCATTTCCCAGACTAAACGTTTCTCACCTTCCTATCCTAAGCAATTCGTTTAACGACGGACAAAGAGTTCAACTATTGTGCTCTCGTTTCGTAGTGGTGGATTCATAGACTGATAGCGAATAGAACCTAACCTAACCTAACCTAACCTAACCCAAATAAACAGTGACACGCGAAGTCGATGTTATCCTCAGTAGCAGCTTGGTCTAACTTTAATTAACACGAAAGAGCGCTTATGACGAAATTTACGAAGGTAAACTTTTAGAAATGACAAGTATACTATTTTTATATCTACTCTATTTCGTTTGGTTCACGGATTAAGTATACACGACTAGTATTGTCTGTCAACATTCTAAATAGAGAGGAAGAGATAAATTCAATAATTTTTTTTTCATATCTCTTGGCTCTTTACGACTCTTTATATACGTAAACTTATTTTTATTAAATCGAAACGCTTTTATTTCGGATAACATTGCAGAATTATGTCTTCAGTTAGTTCTGTTATTTATGCATAGAGATATTTTATACAAATGATGTAATATGTAGATACGTGAAGAAGAAGGAAACGAGAAGCTTATATTTTATGTAATCCAAGAAATATTTTAATCTCGAGTCGAACCGTAACACGCGGTACAGCAGCGTGTGTCAGTTGTTTCTGCAATTTCATTCAGAGAGCTCATTTAATTTCGTTGCTGCTATTTTAAAACTTTTTATTTTCAATTTTACTCTACAGTAAATTAAATCCACCTTTCGCAGTTTTGTACATTTTCTTTATATCGCGATCATTCTTTCTTACCATTTAGTTATGTTGATTCTTTATTTATGCCCGACATTAGCGGCAGACTTTACTTCCCAGATCACGGAGCAGTTTATTTCGCAGCAAAATAAATTCTGCACTTAACTCTTTTTTTTTTTCTATTGAGATACCGCGACAGGAGAAATGCCACACTTATGCTGCTTACAGTATATTTACTGCCAGATCGTAAAGGAAAGAAAAGGAAGGTTTTTCAGACCGATACATCGGCCTGAGCATTTTAGAGACGAGAAGTAGTAAACTCTTTTACGGAAAAGTGTCTCCGATAGTAACGACCACTAAAAAGCGACCATGTCACTTCGCTACGTACGGTTCTGACAGAGCCAGACTACTCTCTCACTAACGTTTCTGCAGAGCACACACTGCTTTCGCACGTGTGTCTATTGGAGACAATGTTCCCTCCACTCACTAGAAATGGAAGGCCTCTCGTGCCGTCTGAGCAAGATAGTATGATCTGCGAAGTCCTCTTACTTTATACCGGCTGAGAAGATATCTTCGCAATATCGTGAGATTGTTCCTCGCGGATATCTCGATTCTAATCTATGTTTACAAAAAGTTAAATTACTTCTATCTTCAGTATAATCTCGTTGTAAATCTCATCTGAAACATGCAGTTTTATTCTGTAAGATAAAAATCCCCCAAGTTGCGAGTTTCACTATGTCCGTTAACAATTAACAATGCAATTAGCTAGACATTATTAAAATGTACGTTTCACACAAGTTATATTGTGTTCATTAATATCGTCTCAACAGCACAATTAATTAAACTTCACCAAAATGTGTACATTATGAATCTTCTTTCTCTCTCTCTCTCTCTCTCCCTCCCTCTCTCCCTCCCTCCTCTCTTTCGGAGCGATAGTATTCATAAGACGAATGGATGCAATTTTTCGTATAGCGACGCTCATTCTTGGTGATGAAAAGCTGCTGGCTTAACTGCACTTTTCCCGTCATAACGTCCATCGATGCAACGCCATTCGATGCATCCGCCGCAGCTCATCTTTACGACTCGCGCGATACAGTTACGGTCGAAATGCGACGTTAAAACGTGCATGCACCTTTCTCCGCCTATGAATAGCAAACGTCTCTTCGGGCGCGCCCGAAAAGAGCGTGACACACGCGAACGAGCTTCTTCGCCCGGAGCTTTTCACGTCCCATCCCCGAATCTCTCTCGAGATGTGCCCGTGGCGGGGTCTTTTCATCGTTATCCCACCAGACTTCGATCTTTTCGAATGCAGTTCTCGATTCTCCGATACGAGCAGACAACTTTGCACAATCTACGAGATTGCGTGCACACGGTGACAGCCAACTTTTCCACGCGAAGCGATGCGTTGCGCATAATACAACGGTCGTACCGCACGTGTGTCCACTTATCTGCGTTCGATCGCTTGTCATGTCAGCAATATAATCATTCCGTATAGTAGGCTTGACGTGTGAAAATGATGGATAATATTAAATGACTATCGTAACATCGATTCTTGCATTAATTCGTTTTTTTTTACCTTTTTGTGAATTCCTAGACTGATATTTCTCTGATGAAAAAAGAATCTATTTGGTAATGAATATCGAATAGCTAACACGTCGAGATCATGAGCATTATCATCGTTACTTTCGTATGTGTAAATCTATATACCATACTAATATCATTACTAGCACACCACCGCGTCGTAACTGAAAGTTCCTAATTTCCTAATTTAATACAAAGTTAATAAAGCCCTGGGACGCACGTATTTTCCGATTACTTATCGTTGGATTACTTGCAAGAACGTGTTTTTGATACACTGAACTGTGGATCGTAGATCTAACGAACACGCAAATTTACAATTATTCTCTTAATTTCCAAATTAATCGTATTTCTGCATATATAGCGAGAGCAAAAAGTATTTGTACAAGGAAATTTGTTATAAAAAAAGCCTTATTTGCCTTAGAAAATAAGTATTAATTAGCAATTTTATATAATGAATACATTCTGTTCTTACATAAACAAATGAGCTTCACATATATTCCTGATTTTAGAAGCTAAATTTCTCGTCTGTACGAATATTTTTTGAGCATTCAAACAATACAATTTTTAATTTTCGCTTATTTTTCAGATGATATATTTTGTATAATTAATATACATCTTTTTGGTATATATAATTTTAAGAAACATATAGTCTATTTTATTCTTTATGAATAAATTGTTAATTATTCAACAAGAAATGATCGTCAATGAAACGTCGAATTGACGTCAAATTGAAATCATCATACAATATTTATATCGATTCGACATCAATTCGATGACTCATTTTTCGCTGGATAATAATTATTTTTTAAAAATAAAGTTTTTTTTTAAATCTATTTTCTTTGTACGAATACTTTTTGCATTCACTG